TTAACTTTTAATCGATCTAGTATTTTGCTGTTAGTTCTATTTATTATTAAAATGAAATAAATATTTTAATTTTAACACTTTGCCATATAACTATCAAACCATTAAATTTTACATAAAATTATTATCGTTATTTATTATTATTATTATTATTTATCGTTATTATTTTTATTGTTATTATTTATGATAAATTATTAAATCATAACAAAAATACCTTCTTCGTCGCCCAGTTCCAAAATAAAAATACAATACAATACTGAACGGATAAATGGACACTTGGCTATAGTAACAATAATAAGCTTTATATTTTTATAACATAAATTATCATTGTTATTATTGTTATCATTATTAATTATTATTTTTTTTCTATTTCTAATTACCTTTAGAATTGAAGAAAGCGAGACTGGCCTATAGAACTGTCGATGGCACCGAAAAAATTTCAAATTAACTGCTGTATATATGTATGTATGTATGTATGTACGTATGTATGAACCGTTTTGAAGAACAAGTAGGTACGTAGGTACGTACGTATGTATGTATGTATGTATGTATGTATGTATGTATGTATGTATGTATGTATGTATGTATGTATGTATGTACGTATGTATGTATGTACGTATGTATATATGTATGTATGTATGTATGTATGTATGTATGTATGTATGTATGTATGTATGTATGTATGTATGTATGTATGTATGTATGTATGTATGTATGTATGTATGTATGTATGTATGTATGTATGTATGTATGTATGTATGTATGTATGTATGTATGTATGTATGTATGTATGTATGTATGTATGTGTATGTATGTATGTATGTATGTATGTATGTATGTATGTATGTATGTATGTATGAACCCGTTTTGATGAACAAGCCATGGTTAGGCATGCAATCGTTTCCGAGTTCAACTTTTATCTATGTCCCTGGTCTCGCACAGTCAGGTATCTAGCAGCTCCATCCAGAATGCAGAAGGAATTAAATTTTTGTAATAAAAGTGAAAGAGTTTGTTTTAAATAATTGCCTTCGTTAGGATCACCCGTTATATTAACTATTTTTCTTGTTAATTCGTTAATAAATAATGACGTGTGCTTATCTGTTGGTCCGAACGTTTCAATGCAAATGGGTTGAAATATTTTGCTTAAATTGTTTAATGAAACGTAGTGTATGTATGTATGTATGTATGTATGTATGTATGTATGTATGTATGTATGTATGTATGTATGTATGTATGTATGTATGTATGTATGTATGTATGTATGCAAATAATAATAATGATAATAACAACATTGTAACATTGTAATTGAACTAATAGCCTCCAAGCAATTTTTTATCAGTAGTACACAAGAAGCAAGAGGACTCAAATTGGCTGGCCCAGGCTGATTACTTATAACCGAAATAAGGACAAGAAATGCTCCAATCTTATTTTTTCCGCGACTATATTCTACAATGATAAATCCATTAAAACATATTATTTCATTTAAATTTGAGTGAAATATTTAATTATTTGAAGATAAAATAGTTATTTTATTGATTAAGTAGCAGTATCTTTTGAATAAATATGTTAAACTAATCAAGTTAAATAAGAGCAGTCTTAAGAGCAACTGAGATGATGGTATAAAAACCCTTCCATTTTGGTGAGCTAATTCTACCGAATTATTTAGGACCGAATTAGTACTAGCAGTATGCTTTTAGTTTGATCATTTTTTCCTTTTGTTTACTTTTTTTTTTCAATTTGATGAAATTTGATGTTACATGTTCTCCGTTAATGACTGATTTATCGCCATTTTTGTGTTCTTTTAAATTTGTATTTATTTTTTTTATTAAATTAGTTTGTTTGATGATGTTTCCGTTTAAGAATAGATAGGTTGGCAATTTCTCATCTAACTCATTTCATTGATTCATTCATCATTGGTTCATTCATTGATTCATTCATTCATTCACATTCATTCATTTCATTCCATTCTCATTTAATGGAAAAGAAAAACGCATGTCAGTTAGTTAGTTAGTGACATGTAGGGTTGTTGTGGTATGTTAGTACAAGTACAGTTAATTAGTTTTAGAATGTTTTTTTTTTAGTCATTTTAGATATAAAAAAAATTTTCATACCTCATATCATGTGGAATGAATGAACTAACTAAATACTAAATTTACTTTAAAGTGGCAATGCAGATTGACTGATTGTATTGAATTGCAATTGATCAAAATATTCTTTTATTTTATTTATTTTTATTTCAAACAAAATTGAGTTTAATTAAATTAAATAAAATAAATAAAATACTTTTTTTATATAAATTATCATAAATTCAAAAGACATAAATTAAAAAAATTAATGTACTAAATTATGAAATTAATATTCATTTGATTAGTCAATCAATCAAATTGAAATAATTATTAATTAATTACAGAAGCCTAGATGGTGAAATATTTTCGACCACATCTGCCTACGTTATCATCCTCTTCATTTACTAATCCTAATAATCCTTCATTCTATACTTATGTATTATCACTCCTGTCGTCATCAACATCATCATTCTTATCACCGTTGTCATCTTCGTCCTCCTCCTCCTCATCTCCATCTCCGCTGTTGTATGAAATGAGAGGCAGACCCAAGCGCCTAATCAAAGCCATTTTTATTATATCCATTCTTGGGTTTTTCCTCACTAATATTAGTTTTCTATTCGGTGGGGACAGTGAAGAAGTTAGTTGATGTAAATATTGCAAGCCAAATGCAGAGTTTTGTGATGTAATTGTATGTCTTTCTTTGTCTGTGACTGTGTGTTTGTGTGTGTGTGAGTGTGTGTATGTGTGTGTGTGTGTGTGTATGTGAGTCTTCATGTATGTGTGTACACACAAATATACTACATGATTATGTTGAATGTGAATAAGATGCTGATGACTGTATGATAGTGATGATGATGATGATGATGACTGTATGATGGTGATGCTGATGATGATGACGACGGAGCTTCAAAGCTTCTATTAATTATTTATTGATGTTATTTGATGTTACAAATATGATGGTTGTTATCATTTTAAATTCTGCATATTCAGTTCTGCTTGACTGCAACTACATCATGTGTTGTCATTCTTTGGTTAAATGTTAATATCATTTCATTCATTCTTGTCGGTTCATACATTCACTCGTTCGTTCATTCATTCGTTCGTTCGTACACTCTTTCATTCATTCATTTTTACATTCGTTTGTTCCTGTCTTCAGTTTCATTAGAAGCACATTTTTAATTGTTATAGCCTTCTTTCTTTTTTTGTAGTACACTGACAGGCATGTTGTTGTACTCAATAGGCTGTGCAACAACATAATTCATGTTGGATAAAATTAAGCATTAATTTAAACACACACGCGCGCACACACACATACAAACATAGACACAAACATACATACATACATACAAAAGCACACACACCCACTGGCATACAACACACATACAAACATACACACATACATACATACAAACGCAGAAACACACACACCTAGGCATACATAGCTTTTGTACAGGTAAGCTAGTATGTGACTACATTGTTTTCTATAAATAAAATTCTTCCACCTTTGTTGCTACTACTACTACTACTGCTGCTGCTGCTGCTGCTACTGCTGCTGCTACTACTACTACTACTGCTGCTATTAATACTACTACTGCTGCTGCTACTACTACGACTAAACAGGTGTTCAAAGTTACATCGACACACGCGCGCGCACACGCACACTTTCACACGCGCGCACACAAACGCATATATACAAACACAAACAAACACACACATACTATACATATACATACATAATTGTTGTCGTGTTTCTCCCTAATTAAATTTCTAATTCCTTAGTCAATAGTAACTTGAGTTCATCTTTCCAGAGTGTCATTGAGTTGTGAGGGCTGAGTTACATATTTGTAGCTGATTATTTATCCACTCATACAAACACTAATTAATTCATTCATTCTTATAGTCACTCGTTAAATAATTAATTCACACATTCATTCATTCACGCACTCACTCATTCACACATTCATTCATTCACGCACTCACTCATTCACGCACTCACTCATTCACACATTCATTCATTCACGCACTCACTCATTCACGCACTCACTCATTCACTCACTCATGAAGGGAATGACAGACTACTTGATGGAGATGTCGAATGAGTCGCGCCGTGACAACATGATGAAGTTCCTGGCCAACAGGATAGAGAGGCAGCATCTGATACATCACCTCAAGTACGCAGGTCTCCAGTCCAACTCTACCAACAGGTTTTCATTAGGAGATGGTCACTATCAGTATCTACCATCAATAACAGACAAACAAACAAACAGACAAACAAACAAAGTTAATAATACTTAATAACTATAATGACCTTGATCCTAAAAATAGATTGTATGACCTCTTTATGAACTCAACCAATTGGAGTTTCCCGTCTAACTTTGACCACACCCACCGCTTCAACGACCCAATGATGTTGATCAAAGAAAAGATATGGCTCATCAATAAAAGACAACAAATTTTCAATTTAGACAAGTATGTGATGCTGATAATGATGGCTATGATGGCTATGATGATGATGATGGTTGTCGTGATAATGATGGCTATGATGATGATGATGATGATGATGATGATGATGATGATGATGATGGTGTGATTGTAATGTCACTGATTAGTATTATAGTGGTTACTGCGCTATATAAATGATTTTTTGTTGTTATTATCATTATTAATTTATTATTATTATTATTATTATTGCAATGTATACTGATGTTATTGTGAAATGGAATAAAAATATTATTGACAGGTTTGATCTACCCTCTACTGGCTCCGTTGTGATAGTCGTACAGGTGTGTATGTGTGTGTGTCTATGTGTGTTTGTGTGTGTCTGTTTGAGTGTGTGTGTGTGTGTCTGTTTGAGTGTGTGTGTGTGTCTGTTTGAGTGTGTGTGTGTGTGTGTGTGTGTGTGTGGGTGTGTGTGTGTAAGTACGAAGGTGTGGTTATGAAAAATTGTCTCTAGTGTTGAAATTCGAGTATGCTTGCCTGAGTGTTGAAATGAGTACAGAGACTAACCAGACGACAGATGGTAGCAAGGGAAGATACACGCACAATCACTAGACACTAAACACGACAACCCAGATACACACGCCAACAGACAGACAGACAGACGAGATACACACACACGACAACCCAGATACACACGCCAACAGGCAGACAGACAGACAGACAGACGAGATACGCACACAGCGTAACACACGACCAAACAGGTTCATAACAGATCCGAGTACCTACAGCACGTGATATCCTCTCTGAGGAAGTCACGTGACATCAGTACGGCCCTACTCATCTTCAGCCACGATCATTACTCTGACGAAATCAACGACATCGTCCTCAGTGTCGATTTTTGCCCGGTACCTATTGTCTCGTATCGTTTTCGTCTCGTTTTCGTTCCGTTTTCGCTCGTTTCCGTCTCGTTTTAGTAGTGTATTCAAGTGTGATATAGTAGTGAAAATAAATCTTCTCAGGTGATGCAGATCTACTACCCGTACTCCCAGCAGCTCTACAGCAAGGAGTTCCCCGGCGAGGACCCTAGGGACTGCCCCAGAGACGCCTCCAAAGAAAAGTAGGTCACCCTGGTCTATTTAGATTACTTCTCATTGGCTGACGCGTTTAAATTATTGTAATACTCAATTGTCATCATTGTAACTCTTGCTATTATTATTGTAAATATCATTTCTATTGTTATTATTATTATTATTGTTGTTATTATTATTTTATTTTTATTATTATTATTGTTATTCCCCAGAGCTGAGAGTCTGAATTGTTTGAACAAAGATACGCCAGACAAATACGGACATTATAGAGAAGCTAAATACACTCAGACGAAACATCATTGGTTCTGGAAGGTGCGTGATTGGTTGGCTGATTAGTTGGTTGGCTGGTTAATTGATTGATTGGTTGATTGATTGATTGGTTGACTGATTGATTGATTGATAGATTGACTGATTGATTGATTGACCCTAAAGAAATGGTTTAATTTTTAGTTGAATCACGTGTTCGACCATCTCGAAGTGACCAAACTCTACGAAGGCCTGTACCTCTTCATCGAGGAGGACCATTATTTAGTGGAAGACTTCATACACATATTACGCTTGATGGATCGATTGAGGTCAAGGTCAGTTGTCGGCTGGTCGGCTGATGATTGGTCGGTTGATGATTGGTCGGTTGGTGATTGGTCAGTTGAGGATTGGTCGGTTGATGATTGACGTCATCAACCATAACAACAACATCATCAATAGCATCAATGACAACACATACACGCAAACAAATAAACACAAATACACACACACACAAATACATACACATTTACAACAACAACAACAACAAACGCCAACAGTTCATGTACAGACTGCAACATGATGACACTAGGTACTTATGATAAGAAACCTAAATACGAAGGCATTCATAATCAGGTATGTATGTGTGTGTGCGTGCGTGCGTGTGTGTGTGTGTTTGTATAAAAATAACAACAACGACACATGATTAGGTTGATGTGATGTCTTGGATGTCCTCGAAGCATAACATGGGAATGGCATTCAATAAGAAAACATGGGTCGAAATTAAGAAATGTGGAACTGTGAGTTGTTCTTGTTGTTTGTTTGTTTGTGGTGATGGTGGCTTTTGGTGGTTCTATTCGTTCGTTCGTTCATTCTATCATTCGTTCGCGTAATTGTTCTGTGGCTGCGATTGGTCGATGGAGACTGACTTACTGACCGGCTAGTTGATTGGTTGATTGCGTTAATGAATGAATGAGTGAATGATTGGATAAATGAGTGAATGATTGGATAAATGAATGAATGGTTGAATGAATGGTTGAATGATTGATTGACTGATTGATTGAAGGCCTTCTGTCAGATGGACGACTACAATTGGGACTGGTCCCTCCATTTCGTCTCCCTATCTTGCATTCCTAGCAAGCTGAAGGTCATGATGATGAAGGCGCCCAGAGTATTTCATATCGGAGAATGGTTGGCTGTAGTTTTTTCATTCCTCTGTTCTTTCGTTCATTCATTCATCCGTTGCCAATTCACTCAACTTCCTCCACCCATCCATTCATTCATCCATCCATCCCAATTTCTAGTGGTCTACACGCGAAGGGTAAGAATTGCAACCCTTCCGAGAGGGTACAGTTCATCGAGGGGCTGGTGGCGGCCAATGAGAAGTATCTCTACCCCAGATACATGACCATCTCCGGGTATCCAGCCCAAGTTAAGAAAGTTAGTCTCGTTCGTGTCTTCTGCTGTGGTTGGTGGTGTTTTTCAGTTGGTCAATCAACCAATGAATCATCGGATAATATCTTATGTAAATGATCGATCGGTCAGTCTAATAATTATAATTAATAATAATAGTTAATAATTATTCATTTAGTTAATGGATGAATCAGTCTTTAACCTATCGTTTAATCAATCAATCAATAAATCAATTAATTAATCAACTATTTAATCAATCAATCAACCAACCGCCCAAATAGTTGCCTAAATTGAATGGTGGATGGGGAGACACAAGAGACCAACACCTATGCGCGAGTTTTATGGAGGCCCATTCGCATAGTTAGCAGTAGTAGTAGTAGCAGCAGCAGCAGCAGTATTAGTACTACTAGTAGTAGTAGCAGTAGCAACAGTAGTACTAGTAGTAGTAGTAGTCGGTAGTCGTTGGAAGTAGTAGTAGTAGTAGTAGTAGTAGCAGTAGAAGTTTAGTGATGGCTTTTTAACGATTGAATAATTTTTGTGATTATACAACACACACACAAACACACACACATTAATCTTTTATTCTCATTAATTTATCAGAGCATTTTGATTTATTAGAGCATTTAATTTTCGATTTTCTTTTATTTAATATTATTAATATTTTAAATTTTAATAATATAATTTTATAATAATAATAATATGAATAATTATATCAATATTATTTTTATTATCATTTTGTTATTTAATTACAATAATTGATTGTTATTGTTATTTTTCTTGTTATTATTCTTATCTACCGCCACTTCTAACCCACCATTTTAAATTTGGCTATGGACGAGACAGTGTTCTTTAAAGACAAGATAAAGATTTGAGTTTATTATTGATTGAATGAATGATTGATTGATTATAATTGATTGATTGATTGATTGATTGATTGATTGATTGATTGATTGATTGATTGATCGTGAGTGTACATATATATATATATATATATATATATATATATATATATATATATATATATATATATATATTTCTCAATACGGTCTCAATGTTTTATTAATTTTTCTTCTAACCTTTGCAATGTCAATTCTGACGATGACGTCAGTGATTATGATGACGTCAGTGATTATGATGACGTCAGTGATTATGATGATGATGACACTACTGATGATGATGATGATGATGACGAGGGTTATTGATAATTTTAATGATTAATTTTTAGCTTGCATGGATCGGATGCTAAGCATGTGTAGTAGCTCGTACCTTTAAGCAAAATAGGCCATGCGCTGGATCTCATTGTATATATGTGTAATAGTGTCGTGTGTGTGTGTCTGTGCGTGTGTGTGTGTATTCATTTGTATGTGCGTGTCTGTTTCTTTCTTTGTCTGTGTTTCTCCATTATAATTAATATTGTATATAGTTTTGCGTATGTTGGTTTAGGATTTTTAAATGTATTATATATTCATAAATGCATTTTTGTATATGTATGTATGCATTTACAGATATATTTAGATATTTATTTGTTTATATATATATATATTTATATATGTATATTTATTTATATATATATATATATATATATATATATATATATATATATATATATTTGCACGGTATCTATTAAAATTGTGATTATTCGTTTGCTCGGCTGATACCTAATTCATTCTTTATTTTTGGTCATTTTCTCGGTCATTCATTCATTCTTTCTGTCATTCATTCATTAATTCATTCATTCATTCATTCACTTATATATTTGTGTATTCATTCGTTCATTCATTCATTCATTCGTGTTTTATTCATTTATTTATTTATTGCTTAGTTCTTTCGTTCGTATTGTTTTCCCTTAACTATTCCATTACCGAAATTCGGTTGGCCTGTCAATTTTTGCTATTTTTATTATTATTATTTGGATTATTACTGTTATTATATTATATTATTATTATTACTATTTTTACTATTATTACTATTATCATTATTATTATTGTTGATAATCATCATTATTTATAAATACTGGAGTGTAATGTTGTTTCTTGTTATTATATTTTCGTCATGTCGTGATTGGCAGATTGATTGATTGGTTGATCGATCGGTTGATTTGTTGGTTGATTGATTGATTTTTTAACATTATTTATGATACAATTATAAAAATAAATTTTATTTTAATTTGTTGTAACTTCGCGGTAGCTTCATTTTATTATGTGATGATGACGATGACGATAATAATGATAATGATGATAATGATAATAATAATGATGATGGTGATGATCATATCACCAATAATTCATTATCTATTCGTTCATTTGTTTACCGGTTTGTTTATTCATCTGTTAATTTATCGTTGCATCATTTGTTAATGTTGTTGATGTTGTTGCTGATGATGATGATGTTGTTGGTGGCGATGATGGTGATGATGTTGTTATTGGTGATGTTGTTGCTGATGATGATGTTGGTCATGATGATGATGGTGATCAACAGCGACTCAGCTTATGCCAAACAAACTGTAAAAATATTGCCAGTGTGATAGCCTCTTGTGGCATAGCAAATGAAATATTTATAATATGTTAATTATTATAGTAAGAATTATAATAATTTCGATTTTTATTCATATATATATATATATATATATACATATATATATACATATATATGTATATATATATATATATATATATATATATCGGTTGGTCGCATATATATATATATATATATAGATTTCGATTTTCACTAACCAAATTTATGATAAACGGTTTTTTGTTATAAATTTATTATTAAAAATAATAGTAATAATATTAATAATAATTATGATTATTATTATTTTAAATAATATCAAACGTAGAAATGAGTGAGTTAGTGAGTGATAGATTATTGATGGAATAGATGGATGGTTGAATGAGTTACATGCAAATGCAATGCTAAATACAATTATATATATATATATATATATATATATATATATATATATATATATATATGTATATAAGCGTTTTATCAGTGAATGAGTGAAAGAAAGAATAAATGGATGACTGACTGAGTGAATGAATGAATAACCGAACCAAAAAATTATTGCTAAACAAAGAACATCTAATAAGTTTATGAGAATGTCTATATATTAAGAATCGATATTATACTATATATGTATATGTATATATATATATATATATATATATATATAGACGAATGGCTGAATGAATAGATGAATGAATGAATAAATGAATGGGTGAATGAATGAATGATAAACAAATAAATGAATAAAATACATATTAAGGTTTTTCAACTTATCGGTCTTTTCCGTAATCAAACATTCAAATATTTATAAACACTCACACACACACACACACATATATATATATGTGCTATATAAATGGATAAATAATATATATATATACGTAATATGAATAATAACAACAGCTATACAAATATTTTTAAATTATTATGATACCCCGCCATCTTGAATTTACCGGCATATAAAAACAACATTGATATTTATATATATATTTCAATTCTAAATATATATATATATATAATTCTAAATAATATATTTACACACATATATATGGGTGAAAATAATTGATCTGTCATCAGATACTTAAAAGATAGATACATCAGATACTTAAAAGATAGATACATCAGATACTTAAAAGATAGATACATCAGATACTTAAAATGTGTCTTGTGAGTTTACATAAAATACACCTTAGTTTGCGCGATTCAATTGTGATATGCCAGATATGCTTGTTAAACTATAGATATGCTTGTTTAAACGCCGGCTTAATTGCAATGGGTAGGTAGTCTGGGGGATGGTTTAACCCGGGCTACTGATGGGTGCCACAAGCGTCTAGCCTAAAACGAGTTGGGGGTTCACAAAAATGGGCCTTAGGTGGTGGTTTGGAGATGGGGTACGTGATAACAGATCAACTATCTTCACCCATAGATATTACTCATTTTTCAATATATATATATATATACATATATATATATGTATATATATATACATATATATATATGTATATATATATACATATATATATATATATATGTATATATGTATGTATGTATATTTCAATTCGTCGTGCATTTTACTACTAAGATTACTACTTCTATTTTTACCAGTACTGCTAATTCATATAACTATGAATATGTAGTGTGTTTGTGTGTGTGTGTGTATGTTTGTGCGTGTGTTTGTTTGTGTGCGTGTGTGTGGGTATGTATATATGGCAAAAACAGTTTGTTGGTGTTGTATTTTTTTTGGTAAGTCTGCCGAAACGTTCAAGCCATCAGCTTCACTGCTCTTACTATAAGTCGGAGATGTTGTCGCTGATGTTGTTGTTGAAGTTGTTGTTGAAGTTGATGTTGTTGTTGATGTTGTTGTTGATGTTAATGTTGTTTTTGACGTCATCGCACACGTAACTCGAATTACTGTAGAGGCCGTTTTGTTGTTGACAACCGGATGTCAGATCGGACGGAATTGAGGTCAGGCCATCTGTGGTGATGATGACGATTAATATGATGATGGTGGTGGTGGTGGTGATAATGATGACGGCGATGGTGTCGGTTGTAATGATGATGATGACGACGAAGATGATGATGATGATGAATAATTAACCTCTTTTTGGGTCTACGAAGTAACCTATCTTGTCTTTATCATCAGCTGTAAAGCACATATTTGCTGATGCCAATGTTGTTGTAATTGTTGATGACGTCATTGTTGTTGTTGATGTTGACGTCAATGTTGTTGTTGTTGTTGATGATATATCGATTTTTGATATTGCTGATGATTTTGAACTATATGATGAAAGATGATTGGTTGACGAAGATAATGATGCTAATGTTGTAGATGTTGTTGTTGATGTTTTCGTTGTTGTTGTTGATGATGTTTTTGTTGTTGTTGTGGAATATTCCTCCGGCAAAAATTTTTTATTAGTTCTTCTTGATCTTTTTGGTCGGACTGCCCATGAGTTTGATGTTGTTGTTGTTGATGTTGTTGTTGTTGATGTAATATGATTTAATGATGTTGTTGTTGTTGTGGTTAATGTTGTCGTTGATGTCATGCAGCTTAATGACGTTGTTGTTGTCGTCGTCGTTGTTGATGTTGTTGTTTTGCAGTAATTTTTTTTAATTATGCCAGCGTAGGAGTAACTTTTTGTGAAGTA